TACGGGCAGTGCTTTAGGGAATGTGGTGCCAGACCAGTAGTATGGGCACCTGGAAATCTGTTAGAAGCGCAAATTCTCAGGCCCTTCTGAAGCAGGCTCTGGGGTGCAGCTCAACCCCCAGTGACCCTAGGTGACTCTGGCACACATGCGCATTTAAGAGAAGGCAGGCCCATTTGGAGCACCCTGGCCCTTGAATGGCAGCTTTACCCACTACCCCCACTGTATGGGATAGTATTGCCCCCAATTCATGTCCGCTCAGTACCTGCGCTTGTGGTCTTATTAGAAAATCGGGTGCTTGCAAGTGAAGCCAAGTTCAGATGAGGTCATACTGCACTGTTGTTGGGTGCCATCGAGTCCGTTCCGACTCAGTGGCCCTGTGTACCACAGCAGGAAACCGTCTGTGCCATGCCCACAACGCTTCCCATGCTGGAGGTCTTGTTGCAGCCACTGTGTCAATCCATCTCATGGCAGACCTTCCTCTTTCCCCTGCCCCCCCACTTACCAAGGGACTGGTCTCTCCCTCGGACTTGAGGCCAAGTCTTGCCATCCTTGCCTCCAAGGAGCTTTCTGACTACTTCTTTCAAGAAAGATCTGTTTGTTCTTTTTGCCGTCCATGTTCAATATTCTTCACCAACTCAAAAACTCCAAACTGACTGCCGCCATCGAGTGGATGCCGATTCATAGGGACCCTATTACACAGGGGAGAACTGTCCCCCCGAGTCTCCAGGACTACAACTCTTTACAGGATAGAAAGCTCTGTCTTTCTCCCTGGGAGCAGCTGGTGGTTTCAAACTGCCAACCTTACAGTTAGCAGCCCAATGTGTAACCCTGATGTCAGCAGGGCTCCTCTCTTCACTAGTACTATAATTCAAATACCTTGATTCTTTGGTCCTTATTCAATGTAAAACTTTTGCATGCATAATGAGGCTTTTTAAAAAACCATGGCTTGAGTTGGATGCACCTTAGTCCTTGTGGTAGTTATGTAATTTCATGTCAACTTGAAGAGTAGGGGTGGAGTCTAGCCTGTCAATCCGGTCACAGCCTGAAGGTGCCTCCTTTGGGGCCTGACCTCCTTGTAAGGAAGGTCCTGGGAACCTCTCTCTCTACTCTACCTTCCTGTTGAGGAGCCACATGGAGACCGGCACGAGCCCTGGAGATGCATCCACTGCCATTGAGTCACAAGTCTTTGTACCCACTGCCAAGGGAACATTCTTCATCACGAGTCTGAAGAGGGATTTATGGACTAGGGATTTCTTAGGGATTTCATCTGGACTGTGCTGGGATAGTTTCCTGATATATAACTACTTTTTGATATAAAGCTCTCTCTTACATATATGAGTGCCACTGGATTGTTGGTCTAGTCAACCCAGCCTAACACAGTCCTCAAAGTAACATCCTTTCTTTTCAACCCATTAAAGAGGTCTTGTGCAGCAGAGTTATCTAATGCAATGATACTGGGTTAGAGTGGGCCCTGAATCCAATGTGGCCCATGTCCGTATAAGAGGACACACAAAGAAGGCCATGTGGTGACAGAAGCAGATTGGAGTGGTACATCTGTAAGCCAAGGATTGTCACAACCACTAGAAGCTAGAAGGGACAACAAAGGTTCTTACCTGGAGCTTTCAGAAGAAGCGTGGCCCTGATGACACCCTGATCGGAGACTTCTAGCCTCCAAAACTGTGCGAGATCAGTATCTGTGCTTACGAGCCGCTCCTTGTGGTGCTGTGAGGGCAGCCACAGGGCGCAAGAAACCTGAATCAGTACAATTCATAGTGACCCTGGGATAGAGTAGAACTACCCGCCCCCACCCTCACCCCAGCCCACCCTACTCCCGTCTCCAGGCATGGAAGAGACTGACACAGCTCCCTCCTGGTAGGTGGAAACGACCAACATTTTGACCACTGCACCACCACTCCAGGTAAGGAAAGCGGCACGCCTTACAAAGGAGAACAAAGGTGCCAGGGGAGCTTTTTTAAAAAAATCAAGAATCACTTATTCAGTCAAGAAAGAAGAAAGTTCTGATTCCAACTTGTTAAAATCTTGCAAAAAGAGTAGAGGCTCCTTTCAGAATCTCCACCAATACATCTCTCTTGTTTCTCAGTTTTTATTGACTGAGAATTATCCCCAGCAGAATGTACACTCATCCAACAGTTTCTGCGTGGATAACTGAGTGGCACTGATTACATGTTTCAAATTGGGCCTCCACCCTCACCCTCCTTTTATAAGTGGATCCTCTGCCATTAACATAAACTCACCGCCTCCTACTGCACCTTGCTGTTGTCACTTTGATCCCGTACATAATTTTTAAGAGGACTATGCTCAAGGTAGACATTCTTTATTCGTTCAAACAATGAGACTTGTTTGATTTTAAGAAGACTTAGGGGGGTTATTTTGGGTGTAAGACTTAAAGATGTTCTCAGAGTTAGAATATTTTGGGTTCGCCCATCCTCCATAGCTCCAGAAAAACTGTAGTCTGTGAGAATTTGACGTTCTGTTCTGCATCAAGATTATTCTGCAGAATCTTCAATTAAAATGTGAGTTCTTCTGTTCTCATGGTAAAGCAGGTAGTTGTTCACAGAGACAACTGACCACACATTCCATATACTCTTCCTATTCTTCTTCCTCTTCCTCTGTTGCTCCAGGCAAGCAGAGCAACTGTCCTGCCTTGGCTGGCTGGTTGGAAGCGGTTCAGATCCCAGGCGCTATAGGATGAACTTGAAGGTAGAACAGAAGCACTACACACATTTTGCCAATGAACTGGTATGTCCCATGAAACCGTGACCTTTAAGTCCCCAAATCAAGAGACCAAATCCCATGAGGGTTTGGGTTGTACAGAGGCAGCCACGGCAGTTCAGAAAGACTCGTGCAGCTCACGCGGACGGGCTTAACACTTTCCAGGAAACGATTCACAGCTGTTACTTCCGGACACTGAAATGCAGCTGATCGGTGCTGGAGAGCTTCACGAGGCAGGAGAACGCATGGCTTTTCTCCTTGGTGCTGTGCTAAACATTTCT